GTGGCGAAAGTTACAGACCGGGGTTTTTCCAAACCCCGCACTTTACAGCAAGTGGCACCCCGCAGTTTTCCAGTCCCAGTGTAAATTTTGTGATGAGGTAGCGAATTTGGTCGACAAGGTGTGGACATGTCCAAGTCAGAACGATGGTTCTCACACTGTAGAGTCCTGGGAGGCCCTGCTCTGCAGCCCAGAACCCAACGTCCAGCGCGACATTATCAGTCAAGCCCTTGCTGCTGCCACGTCCCAAGGGATTCCGGCCGACAGCTAGGGGCGACGGGCCATGCCTGAATAATTGACTGACTATTTAATGAAGTTTTCTCTCTCTCTCTTATTGTTGGGACGTGCCGTTCTTTGTACATCACACGTCGAATTTTCCAGTTTTATTTTTGGTATTTGAGTATAGTGCGCAATCTTAAGAAAACGATCGACTAAAATACGAAGCTCCCCGAATACTTACGCGTGATCTGCACTTAGTATTGATCAGTGTCTTCGTGTAAGTAAACCAAGCACGTAGGAATGACACGTGTGGCATTGCCCCCCTCTGAAAAAGCATCTGTGTCATGCTGTAACAAAACACAGCATAAAATGCATCCAAAAAATATCAAGAAAGCAGGAAAGTACACTAAACAGTTCGCATAAACAAGAAAGTACAGTGATAAAGCGAGAACTTCAGTTCTTCAACTTCTGTAAGGTGCGTGAAACGGCTTGAGGCGCGCGACATGCACGACTTCAAGCCGTGAACGGCACCATTGAGAGTACTTAACGCCATTCTCTTAACCTCGTAATCTAGACCGAATAAATTTCGAAGCACCTTGTTTGATTCAAGGTATTGTTAAAGGAGTGTTTTACCAAGAACACGTTGTCGTACCAGTGTCCAGACCCACACGCTGTTGCCATGCTGGTATTTCAAGAAGCGTCGTCGAACGTTGCTGCGACTACTGTTGGTCTTTTGCTGACACTGGATACGCCAAAGGGCGAGATGTCGGGCTTCTTCTTCGCGCTGTAGGTAGGCGTCGTCGTCTACACTGTCTTCATCAGTACATCTAGTAACAGGGTGGCAAACGTCACTGCCGGGCTCAGTCCGTAGGCCTGCTTGTAAGACATCATGTGCGCATTTCTTGCATGGTTGCGTTGTACGCTGAAGGTCACGTAGAAAAAGGGTGCATATAACGTCTTGTGCTCGATATCGACGTAATACATGGACACTAGCATGTCGGCGACTGTCTTGTACAGACGCTCAGTGACAGCCGCCAATACTTATTGGTTTAAGGGTGTATAGATGGTGGTTGGTCAGTGTCTTGTGTTGCATATCAGCGGAGAAAATCACACTGTGCATCTTTATGTCGCTGGTGACAGAGAGTGACAGTGTTTTGTTGCTAGGCGTGGCTCACTAATGGTAGTACGGGATGCTACGTCAGCTACGCACGGTTGCTACGGCTACGCGCAAGGATGTGATAGCTAGGCGAAAAGGCTTTCAAAATCAGCAGACACGAAGCTCTGCTGTGAAAAGCAGTCAATGTTGCTTGTCTGGAGCTTCATTACGCGATCCCTGCGCGCCCCGTGAAAAATCACGGTAAGAGAGTTGTAAGAAGCCTTGATGAGTGTTTCCATTACCTTCTGGTTTCTCGGCCAAAGGTCGTCTGTTGTTTTTATGAACTCGAGGTTTTCGTTGAATGTCGACATAAATTCAAGCTCAAGGTCCTGTTTTTTTGGTAACTTGCATAATTTCTAACATTGCGCGGGATGGTAATTATAGTACAATCTAAGCATCCAATTGAGGACGCTGTTTTGGCTCGCAAATCATTTCCTGTGACTTCACTCTCCTAGTCCGAACAGAACAGCCTGAGCAACAAGGCGTTCCCACTGATTTTGAAGGCCACATAAATGCGACTAATGAGCGCCAACAGTGAGCGCTTCAGTAGTTTCAGCTTTGAGTATAGGAGGAATAGTTGAAGATTCAAGCTACTGCATTTCGCAAAAATGAAGTGTTGTTTAGCAGTGTATAAAAGAAGACAAGGCAAGTTACCTATGTGCATGGGAAGGAGGCGAAACGTTTTCGTTTCTTTTGACATATGACGACATATTGAATGATTGATTTCCTAATGAAATAATAAATACATAATGAACAAATGAATAACAAGCGGCATCTTTTTTGCCTGCTCTGGTGCAATTTTTGTGCGATATTCTGCAAACGCTGCGTATAGGTGTATCTTAACTAATTTATCTACCCTAATGGTAGCCGAAATAGTTACCCACCGGGAATAGCTTCCGTTAGACATCAAGATGAAGATGTGTCATTAAGCGCCCACGTAGGTATATTTACGTCAAATGGAGCTGTTCCTGCCCATCACAGATAGACGTTGTTTGCAAGTTCAAACCTAAATGTACAAGAAAAATTCACACTTAATTCGGTTAAAATGTGGTTAACTTTCGTTATAACGATTCTTTTGGCGGATATATCTGCCATACTTTATTTTGTTTTATTTTTACTTTGGGCTGCAAGTAGAAGTAGGAATCACCACATCATCATGATTATCATCATCATTCGCCTGACAACGTCAACTGCAGGACAAAGGCCTCTCACATGTTCGGCTAGTTAACCCAGTCCTGTGCTTGCTGCTGCCAATTTATACCCACAAACTTCTTAATCTCATCTGCCCAGCTACCCTTCTGTCTCCGCCTAACCCGCTTGCCTTCTATGGGAATCCAGTTAGTTACCCTTAACAACTAGCGGTTATCCTGTCTACGTGCTACATGCCCGGCCCATGTCCATTTCTTCTTCTTGATTTCAGCTATGATATCTTCAACCCCCATTTGTTCTCTAATCCGCTCTGCTCTCTTCTTGTCTCTTAAGTTACACCTACCATTTTTCTTTCCATTGCTCGCTGCGTCATCCTCAATATAAGCTGAACCCTCTTTGTAAGTCTCCAGGTTTCGGCTTCGTAGCTAAGTACCGGCAAGATACAGCTGCTATATACATTCCTCTTGAGGGATAGTAGCAATCTACCTCTCACAATTTGAGAGTGCTTGCCAAAGGTGCTCCACCCCATTCTTATTTTTCTAGTTACTTCAATCTCGTGGTTCGGCTCTACGGTTATTACCTGCCCTATGTAGACTTAGTCATTTACAACTTAAATTGCACAATTACATATCTCGAAGCACTGCTCTTTTCGGAGGTGGTTGTAGATTACTTTCGTTGTCTGCAAATTCATTTCAAGACCCACCTTTCTGCTCTCCTTGTCTAACTCCGTAATCATGAGTTGAAATTCGTCCTCTGAGTTACTCAGCAATGCGATGTGATCGGTGAAACGCAGGTTACTAAGGTACTCTCCATTAGCTCTTATCCCTAACTGTTCACATTCTATGCTTCTGATAACCTTCTGTAAGCACGTGGTAAATAGCATTGGGGAGATTGTGTCCCCCTGCCTTACACCCTTCTTGATGGGTATTCTGTCGCTTTCTTTAGGAAGCACTATGGTAGCAGTTGATCCCCTGTAAATTTCTTCCAGCATGTTTATATATACTTCATCGACACCCTGATTCCGCAATGTCTGCATGACAGCTGATATTTCCACTGAATCAAACGCCTTCTCGTAATCAATAAAGGCTATGTATAGTGGTTGGTTATATTCCGAGCAATTCTCCTTTACCTGATTGATAGCATGAATGTGGTCGATTGTTGAGTAGCCTGTTCGAAATCCTGCTTGCTGCTTTGGTTGATTGAATTTCTATGTTTTCTTTACTCTGTTAGCAATTACTTTTGTAAATAGCTTGTATACTACAGAGAGCAAGCTAATCGGCCTGTAATTCTTCAAGTCCTTGTTATCTCCTTTCTTATGTGTTAGGATGATGTTAGCGTTCTTCGAAGACTCTGAGACCCTTCCCGCCAAGAGACACCTTATAAGCAAGGTGGCTAGTTTTTCTAACACAATCTGTCCTCCATCTTTCAGCAGATCTGATGTTACCTGATCCTGAACAGCAGCCTTGCCTCTTTGCATGCCCTCCAAAGCTTTTCTGACTTTTTCTAACATTACTGGTGGGGTGTCATCTGGGTTACTGCTAGTTCTTATAGTAATAAAGTCGTGGTTGTCCCTGCTACTGTACTGTAAAACTCCTCGCTATTTTAACTATCCTATCCATATTAGTAGTTAGTTTGCCTTCTTTTTCCCTTAGTGCGTACATCTGATTTTCGCCTATCCCAAGTTTCCTCTTCACTGCTTTGACGCTTCCTCCGTTTTTCAGAGCGTGTTCAATTCTCTCCATGTTACACCTGCTTACACCGGATACCTTATGCCTAATAATGAACTTCGAAAGCTCTGTCAGTTCTATTTTGTTAGTTGTACTTGAGACTTTCTTGCACGGAATTACCTAATGGCTAGTATTTCGAAATCCATGTTGTCCTGCACTCGTGGGAAGACAATAAGGAAGGCCAATCAATTATTTCATAACGTACCTGTGCAGGTAGGGTAAAAAAAATTGCTAAAATTTTTGTAAGTTACTGGCGGGAGCCTTAGTTATAAACCTACTTTTTTACAATTACTGGTGGGTGCCAGAAGTTTCAAGTTCAATTTTCGCTAAAGCGGGGGTCGTGTTATTAGGACGAGTGCTAGACATGTTTGTATGAACCATAAAAAAGCTTGTTCAGCGTCTTCTTCTTATCTGCAGCACTCTAATGAAATATTAGCAAATAAAAGGCTGAATGGGTGTTTCTTATATAGAAAGACAATATACCGAAACAGCGTTCACTGCAATAATTTTTGTACACCGTCAGTTTACAGGTTCTCGTTTATGTGATATGAAATAGTGATGTGAAAAAAATTATGAAATCGGTGAAAGTGCAAACATTGTACGTTACATGCAACCAGTTATATTCATATTATCACCCCACATGTCATAAAATATTGTTACTGAGGATTAGTAAACTTTGTTTTATTATAAATGTCATATAATGTGATCACCATAATAGTGATGGTTTGCTGTCATTTTCTTATATTTTTCAGGCACCGGTACAGTACTGGGACAAGTATGTGTTTTCGATTACATTTCTTGACTTGACTGTACTTTGCAATAATGTTTATCAAACTATATTTTAAGTTATCCTAAAATCCTAATAGTCAGAAGACAGTGTTCGAAGAGAACTTTTAGATGCGAAGTATTACTTTATGAACTTCAAGCATTTTAACATGTTCTGCATCCTCGACTACCCAAAACAGCAGTCTGGTTTGCTCGCATGTTTTGGTTTAAGCTCTCCGCTTTCTATTTTTTCCTTCTCACTCCCCTTCCTCCAGGGTAGGGTAGCACATCGGCCGCTCATCTGGTTGACCTTCCTGCCTTTCCTTTCTCTAACACCTCTCTATCTATCTATCTATCTATCTATTTATCTATCTATCTATCTATCCATCCACCAATATCTGTGCACTCTAGTGATTGTCCGCCTCATTGGGGACAAGCCAGAATTAGCTTGGGAGGGTAGGGGGTTTGACGATAACATCTGGCTGGTCAATACGTGAAAGAAATCATGGTTTTACCAAAAAACTGAAGCAATGAGTGCAATAGCAACATGTTCGAATGTTTTACGAAGCAAGGGTAGTATCTTTAAGAGCAAAGAGCAACAATATTTGTAGTAAACATGCGCTAGATAAGTAATCAAGTTTTCTGCAGCGTGGCCACTGTAGATGATCGGAACAAGGCTCATGCGTTGTGAAGGCGTTGATGAGAAACACCTATCGTAGGCAGCGCAGGCTGATACTTAAAGCTATCCATCGTGTGTCACCGCTGGTGGCAGTTTATGTGTACAGCACATCTATATGTGTACAACCGCTCCAGGTACACTTTTGGCACCGTGCGCGTGTGCGTGCGCGTTTGTGTGTATGTGTGTGTGTTGAGAGCGCAACACGAAGAAGCTCCTGCCTGCTGTGGTGACAAGAGCCGCGCTTATCATAGCCGCAATAGTGTGGCAACCATGAGCACCCCCCCCCCCTTGTTCGCTAACAAGTTAAACGCACGCACAGACGACCCCTGCCGGGAAGGCGATGATTGTTCACTCCACAGGAAGAGAAGGCTAGCGCATCCTTCGTCCTATATATATATATATATATATGTATGTATATATATATATATATATATATATACATATATATATATATATATATATATATATATATATATATATATATATATATATATATATATATATATATATATATATATATATATATATATATATATATATATATATTGACATGGAGGTGTTGTACGTCAAGAAAGCTTTAGACACTGCTTGACGAAAGGTACTTTACGAGGCAGGTCTGGCTACCAGTGAGCGGCGTGCGCGAGCTACAACTGCAGCCACCGATCATCATCTTCTTCTTCAATAACAGCACAGCGTCCTTCATTCAGATTCATTACAGTGACTCCCCGCGAAATAAGGAGCCATCCTGGCAACTTATGGAGAAGTAAACACGGGAGGGTGGTAGTAGTGTTTAAGTCTCGACTTGTGGACAATTACCTGGCCACGACGACGTTGGTCAGAAGATGGTTCCAGTGGCTCGACGAGGCAATTCACCAGTGACGTTTTTTGCTGTATTTTGATATGGGTCATGATACAAGGGGACAAACTTGGTAAAAAAGCTCTTCAGGAAACCTGCGTAGCCACATCGGGAGTCGTCATAAAACGTGGAACAAATTTCAGATCCCAGATGACGTGGAATCACGACTTTCCATTGATGTCGACCGAGGGCATAGTTGCGTCGATACAGCCCGTTGTCGCAAGTGGTGAAGCTATCCGCCAAGTCAGGATATATAGAATCGAAGCGACCCAAGCGTCCTTGCGTTGCTCAGATAGAATGTCGGCTATGAGGACGGGAGTGGCATCACAGATAACACTTTCGTAGCAGGCAGGGTCAGGGGCTAAGTAGGGGCGAACGGGTGAAGGCATCTGCGTCTGAATGTTTCCGGCTGGAGTGATAGATCACGCGAATGTCATATTCTTGAAGGTGTCAGGGGCAAACCTCATAAGCGCGAAAATGCACGCGACAGCGACGAGCGACGCTATGAGCGACGAAACAGGACGTTCGCGCTACGTGTCGCGTGCTCGTTTTCGCGCGATCGCTCGGTTCTCCAGATTTGGAAGCCGTCTCTCATCGCCCGGAAGTGCTGGGCTCAAGCAGCCAATAGCGAAAAACCGGAAAAGACAACGACTACATAGGTGCACGTCACCCTGCCCGAGTCACGTAAGCGCAACAAGAAATTACGCAATTTTTGTTACGCATGTGCATGTAAAAAAGTGCTGCAAGGCAATAATAAACACTTTCCGTTTCATTACACAACAATATTTTTTATTTTTAAATATCATACGGCTCGCTACGCGGTTTTCTTGGTGCGAGTAGACGGCCTCAAGCCAGCAACAGTGGAATTCGCTCACCGAAGCTGTCGCGTGAATGAGCTTTGCCTGCGCTAGCGACTGATCGCGCGAAGCTGATCTACGTCGCGTCGCTTGTCGCTGTCGCGTGCATTTTCGCGCTTATGAGGTTTGGCCTTAACGCCCATCGGGCGAAGCGACCACTTGAATCCTTAATTGACGACAACCAGCAGAGGGCGTGGGGGTCAGTCATGACGTCAAAAGGGCGTCTGTACACGTAAGGTCCAAATTTCTTTATCGCCCAAATTATGGCGAGGCATTCCTTTTCAGTGAATGAATATTTGGTTACGGCTTTGCTAAGAGTTCGGCTTGCGTAGGCAACCATGTACTCTTGGAAGCCGTCTTTCTGCTGCGCGAGAATAGCGCCTAGCGACACCACTAGCGTCGGTGTGGATCTCTGTGGGTGCCGATGGGTCGTAGAATCGCAGAATAGGCGACGACGTAAGGAGGTGGCGCAGTTCATTGAAAGAATCGTCACAGGTGGAAGACCAGGCTGAAAAGTTCCTAGAGCCGTCAAGGAGCTTGAACAAAGAAGCGATGATTGTAGCGAAATTGCGGACGAAGTGCCGGAAGTAGGAGCAAAGGCCTATGAAGCTTCAGAGCTGTTTCATGATGGTCGGTTTCGGAAACGCTTAAACAGCTGAAAGTTTGGCAGGGTCTGGAAAAATGCGGTGCTTCGAAACTACGTGGCCATGAATCGTAAGCTTTTGAGCGGCGAACTGGCACTTCTACAGATTCAGTTGCCGCCCCACGGTAGAGATACAAGTGAAGACTTCGTCGCGGCGAGTTAAATGGGTTGTGAAAGCGGATGAAAGAACGGCAATGTCATTTAAAGCACAGAGGCAAACGTTGCATTTGAAGCCTCGAAGGATAGCGTCCATCATTCGCTCGAAAAAACTGACGCGTTGCAGAGGCCGAAAATTATGACGGTGAATTTGTACAGCCCGTCGGGCTTGATGTAAGCCGTTTTTTCGCGATTAGCCTCTTCCATGGGTACCTGCCAGTATTCAGAGCTCAGATCTGAAGAACAGAAAAATTTGGCTTCTAGTAGGCAGTCCATCGCATCGTCAATGCGTGGCAGCGGATAGACGTCCTTGCGCGTGATTCGGTTGAGGCGTCGGTATTCCACGCAGAACCTGATGAATACATCCTTCTTCTTCACCAGTACAGCTGGAGAGGCCCTGGGACTGCTTCACGGTTTTATTAGCCTATCGTCGACCTGTTCATTCATGACATGACATTCTGTAGTTGGCACACGATATGGACGCTGTCGTAATGGTGTCTTTTGACAGGTATCTATACAATGAACAACAGATGACGCTTGACAAAGGAAGGCTCATTGTGGTCAAATGTGGCGCGACAACGCTGGGGAAGCTTGATGAGCTGTTTTTACTGCTCATGCGTGAGGTGGCCATCAATGGACTAGCGAATTATATCTATAGGGTCATTGGCGTCAGTATTGGGTGTAATGGCACAAGTCCGCAGAAATGACTTGTCTGAATACATCGGGTCTTCGAAAATACAATTTAACGTCTCGAGGCTCCCCAGACACTTGCCGCGTTGCAGGATAAAAGGAAACCAGAGACATTGCACGCATGAAGCACCGCCGAATCACTGGATAAACTGATGACGGCAAACGGGAGGACGATGGCTCGATGGTGGGCACTATCCATAGATGGTTGAAAGAGGAGCGTCGAGCTAGTGGCAGCAGGAGAAAACACAGGCACTTGGACGGCGGACAAAGGTGCGATGCGGACGTCAGCTGCGGCAAACACTTTCGAGGGACTGCGGTGGACGATATCAAGGCACCGATTCATTAACGTGACTTCAGCATGAGCGCAGTCGACGATGGCCTGATGGGTAGAAAGGAAATTCAATCCTTGTATTACGTCGTAAGATGAACGTGGAAGAACAACAAACTTGACGGCGTACCTAGCTTCTGGAATAAGAACACGTGCTGTGCACTGGGCCGTCGGCGTGATGAAATCAGAGACGGCTGTACGCAGGGCAAGATTCGTAAACGGCGTTGTAAATTTTTCAAATCGTGACAGTTTTTCACTAACTACAGAAACGACAGCGCCTGTGTCGATAAGTGCACGTACCGAGACACCTTGTACTAGCACATAGATTTCGTTGAGCGGACAAAGAGGTCTTAAAGAGGTTCACAACGACGTTCTTTTTGGCTCCGGAACTGCGGCTGTCAGTTTTTTCTCGAGCGAGGCTCGTGCTCTGAAGAATCGGGGAGACAGATCAGCGACGGGGCAGTAATGACCGGGGAGAGTCCAGACGGCGTCGTGGGTACAACAAGCTAGTGATATGGAATTATGGCCTATGGGGATTCTGTGCAGCCTGGTAATTTTCAGAATTCCCAAGGTGCAGAAGCTGGAAGTTGTGAGGGTGGCAGTAGCATGCTATATGTCCAACCAAACGACAAGGGTCGATTATCGAAGCCGCGTAATGGGTTAACGAGAAAAGGTGCCGGGAGCGAAGTAGAATGGGGTGCTGTGTACGTAGGCAGTGTCGTAGGGTAGAAGGACCCGGTGCCCCGGTATGTGCCAGAGACAGGTGATGATGGTGGTGCAACGACTACGGCAGAGCAGGTC